ATAAGTCAATGCCTAACACGCGTTGCCGGTTAGTTCTTAACCGTAAAAAGAACAAAAGCCCACATATTCAACATTGTGGCAGGTTGTTATTCATAACACCAAAATCCGTGCTTCACACGCACGAGGAATTTTATTTTGAAGCCTAAGTAGGGATAAGTCAATGCCTAACACGCGTTGCCGGTTAGTTCTTAACCGTAAAAAGAACAACAGCCCACATATTCAACATTGTGGCAGGTTGTTATTCATAACACCAAAATCCGTGCTTCACACGCACGAGGAATTTTATCCCGAAACCTGAGCAGGGATAAGTCAATGCCTAACACGCGTTGCCGGTTAGTTCTTAACCATAAAAAGAACAAAAGCCCACATATTTAACATTGTGACAGGTTGTTATTCATAACACCAAAATCCGTGCTTCACACGCACGGGGAATCTTATCCCGAATCCTGAGCAGAGATAAGTCAATGCCTAACACGCGTTGCCGGTTAGTTTTTAACTGTAAAAAAAAGCCCACATATTCAACATTGTGACAGGTTGTTATTTATAACGCCAAAATCCGTGCTTCACACGCATGGGGAATTTTATCCCGAAGCCTAAGTAGGGATAAGTCAGCGCCTAACACGCGTTGTCGGGTAGTCTATTCCCGTAAGAAAGATGAAGTCTACATATTCAATATTGTAGCACTAAGAGAGTTAACTCTCTTAGCACAACGTCACATGTGGAACGGACTTAAATAATCCTCATGCAAGCCCGATTCAAACGGTAATCGGTAAAGACATGTCAAATCCGTTGAAGGCTGAGGATTTGCCAAAAATCCTAAGTCTACGTCTGATACACGTCGTTGTTTAGTCTTTTTACATGAGAAAGACGAAGTCTACGTATTCAATATCGTAGCACTAAAAGAGTTAACTCTTTTAGCACAATGTTATGTGCAGAACGAATTTAAATAATCTGCATGCTAGCCTGACTCAAACGGTAGTCGGTAAAGGCTCATCAAACCCGTTGATGGCTGAGAATAAAGGCTCATCAAACCCGTTGATGGCTGAGAATTTGCCAAAAATTCTATAAATGCAAGTCATTGACGTATCAGCTTCATTAGTTGGTCTCATGACTTGATCATCCAACGACTTCAGGATAAGATCTATATTTACAGATGAATCAACTTTAATAGTTGGTCCTGCAGCCTAAAATTTAGGACCGCCACGCTCTAACACCTTAAAAGCTTAAACTGTGTAGACTTCAGCAAACGTACGAGTATAAACTGTGTTAACGCCGGTCAACCCGTTATAGTAAAGATCGATGCTGGTCAACGCATCAGCAATCTCGCCAAACTAAGGCAAACAATGATTTCAGGGAGTTCAATCGGATTCAGATATGGATTTCTGACGAAGATGATCAGTTCAAAGTCAACTCAATGACACGAGCTAAGTTCAGAAACTTGCACACCAACTTCAATTCAAGGTTTCAACAACGGTCAGATGATAAACGCAGCGCCAGAAGAACTTTAACTATTCGACAAAACACTGAATAGACTGAAGGTTGAAGAAGTCAAGAATTGAAGCAGTTCATAGGTCCCTCTACGAAATTGAGGAAAAGGCCTATCTTATCCAAAGCCTTCCAGACTCTTCTATAAAAGAAATGAGTCTGAAATTCTTTGGAGGGGGTATCTGTAGGCGTCTAAAAATGCCTATAGGTCCTCGAATACAGCTCAAGACGGAGAGAAGACAACGAACGTCGTTATCCGAGTCTAAGAGGATTATCTATCGTCGACAAGCGCATGAAGCGAAACGACGAACCAAGTGGTTCGCACGCGTCAGTCAACATACGCACGCGCGTCAATCAGCTCACGCGCGTCGGTCAACACGCGCACGTCAATCAGTTTGCGTGCGTCAGTCAACGCGCGTATGTCAATCAGCTCGCACGCGTCAATCAACACGCGCTCGTCGATCAGTTCCAAGTACCGTAAAAAAGCTAACGAGCGCCTGAAGCAAGTTAGCAAATCGTATAAGTCAACGAGACGGTTAAATACGTAAAACGGTGGAAAATACAAGTCCTGAAAAAGTCAGAAAACACCAAACAGTTCAGCGCAAAGGCCGAACTACCCGCACCCGCGCAAATCGAACCGCGCCGACCCGCGGCCGTGCGGGTCGGAACATGGTTAATTAGTTATTAACTGAAGATAAGACCAAATCATTCATTCTCATCCAAATAACCGCTTCTGAAGCTTATAAATACGAACTCGGGTGCTCATTTCTCAGGGGGGTTAATTATCAAGAGGAGGAGGTGCTGCCGGATTGAGGAGTCAAAGGAGCACGAATTTCAGCGAAGGTTGACAGATCTTAGTGAATTCTTCGGCATAAAGGAGAGTTCGAGAGATCCGACGCCCGTTTTCCCCATTTCCTTGAGATCGAGCTTGGTCTTGATCTCGAGAAGAGCTACTGATTTCGCTTGGTCGATCTCAGCGCTTCAAATCAAATACTTCCTCGGCGAAGGCGAAGCTCTGCCGAATTTTCAACAACCGGATCTAATCGACGGTCGTCCACGGATAAACCCCGGCACAGGCAAAGATCCCACGCAAGCAGGAGACCGATAAACGATATCCCTGCGTTTGTTTTGACGAGAGTTGTAACTTTTGTTTTTATTGTGTAAGAGTCTTATAAAAAGACTATCTTTTTGTTTTCATTGTAACGACTAAAGTTGTAATCAATACCACAATGAATACATCAACTTTCGACGCAAACACCCGTGACATACTTCCAAAGGCCTTTGCCTTTCAAAAAATTCCGAAACAGCATAGACCAATGACTATAATTATTTCCATCAAGTTTAACAGTAATAGGAATTTGAATTTCAGATGTATTCATAATGAACAATCAAAAAAGGAATAAAGTCATAGAGGGTGAATAAGGAGTTGGCCTCGACGAGGGAACTAGGGTTAGGCGGCGTCGGCAAGCATAAAAGGCGAGGGATCTAGGGTCTGGTGGTCCTTGATTTCGTGAGATCCGATTTGGATCTGAATCATGGCTTCGGTCTGGGCTTTGTGGGGCTTCGTCGGGCGACAGCGGCTTCGTCAGGCTTCGTCGATGGGTGGCCTCGGGTTTCGTCTAGTGCCGGGAGGGACTTCGTAATGGACGTAATGTCTGGGCTTTGCGGCGCAGGTGGCTTCGTGTGCGGCGTGAGTTGGCTTCGTAGGATTCGTCGATGGCGCGTTTTCGGCTTTCATCGGTTTTCGTCAGCGGCGGCGGCGGCTTCGTCGGAGGTATATGCAGTTTTTTAATGAAAACTAGGGTTTGAAAGATACCCTCTCTGATACCATGATAAGAATTAGAGAGAATAATATTTTGGGTATTAAGCTTGTTTTAGTACAATGAATCATGGTCCATTTATATACGGATGAGGAAAGAGCTATACATGGTGATTACAATCAAGGAATGAATCAAGCAAAATCTCCTAAATATATGCAATCTCTCAATAAAAAGGGAGGAGATCAAGGAATGAATATTCTAGGCATATGTAGAAATATTCTAACACATGTTAGACAGCGTCTTCAACCCCCAGCTGTGACGGTCACGAAGATAACGGCTCGTTGTAAATCCATTAAAACTCTCTATATATATGTCATATGCCTTGCATTAACTGCAATTTTTTGTCCAATATCCAAATTCTTATGGATTTAGAAGGACTTGCTACCAAAAGATTTACTCTATTATGTTTCTAAACTAAAATTCAAACTGAAGGGACAAAATTGAGGTAACCAGTGAGCTCTAGGGGATTTATTTCAAATTAAATAAGATGTGAGGGACAGTATCTTAAAAGCACTACTATCTCATACACTACTTTTATGCTATAAGAGAGAGAAGTGTGGGCTCTCTTGATGAGTCATCAATTTTGAATTTTGTTTTTTTTGAAGAAAAAATAGACATATTGTTATCTCCTACAGTATAGAAGCAGCCTAGGAGTGAGTGATAGTGTAATTATCACTACTCTTTATTTATTAATCACAGTGAAAGAAGTAACAACAACTACTCCAAATCATTTCCATCAGCTGTATATACAAACTTTTTTTTTCTCAATGAAGAGTTCACCTGGCTTGTACCCTAAACCCAGTCTACCTCCAAGTAACAAATACATGCATGCATAAAGTAACAAATTCATAAATGACCCTTTTTTTAATGAATTTAGATGGTTGATAGTTTATGTACTAGTGCAGTTTAATAGCGGTCCGTGTTCTTACTCTATTTTAAAAGATGGTCTCCGTTCAGAAAAACACAAAGTTAAAATGTAAATGATACGAAAAAGTATTTCAGTGCAATCATTAACCTTGGCATATGTGTCCAAACACTGAGTCATGTCGATTTTTTCTTATAAGATATTCTGCGTAGGGTACTCTGTATAGAATTTTCTTCTACAGTCCATGTTCATTGATGGTTAGCCAAGAGCTATCTTTCGTTGAATTGGCATAAACCATGACGAATGTGATGATCTCAGATACATCAAACGTGAGAGGACAACAACCATTTTATCATTTTTCCCCCCGTGTTGCTTTCAACTTTTTGCCTGTCTTTGTTGTCCTAGTGACCATTTTATCATTTGTTGGGTAGTAACAAGACAGCAAAGAGAATAAAACAAAAGAAGAGGAGAGTTCATAGTTTGTTTGTCTAAGCCAACGTATATGCGACGTAGTAGGCAGAACAATATATGAGATGGGATGACAAAATGAATGAAATCATAGATGGTCGGTTTCCTTGTTGGTGTTGTGTCCTGGTTAAGATGTCTCTGGATTGGAGCCTCTGAGCCTCCTAGAGTAATTCAGGACTCCAACAGCATTATCAGGGTGATTTTGATTCTAAATATATACATATGAACGAATTACATTCAATTTGATTAGGGTCTTATGAACATCAAATGTTTAATACAGAGATGGTTTAGTCCCTACTCTTATTCTTGTGGGAAACGTAACCAAAGGTAACTATAATGTAGAAAACTAAATTTTTACTCACATCGATAAATTTGTAAACCATCCCGATCAATTATCTCTTGTTTTATCCTCGATCGATAGGAGAAACCTGTAATCGCGTGCAAGTGCACTCATTTCATAAAACATCATTGACTTAACTACAAAGTAGAGACTTCTTTCTGACAGCTTAATAAGGCATAATTAATATCCAATACCTGTTTCATGCTTTGCATTAGAATCATTTCATAAAACATGAACAAGAAAGACAAGTGCGTGATGGCTCGATTTTTTACAGGAAATTTGGGCAGTCTGATGTTGATAATTATACCTGCAACATGCAATGAATTTTACGATCCTTTTGGAGATCCAAGCTCCAGCAATTCCCGTGCCCTATCATATGTATCATTATCCATGTCGGTAAGATTTCTGACAATTTCTGCTACACGCGCACACAAGTGCACAAAAACAGGTATTAACGCGTGCTTATTCTGGCAGCCCAGCAGCTTGTATCCATGGACGCAGCCTACAGTGTAATGAAAGGAATGAAGGTCAATAATCATACACTATCTAAGCTAACAAAGCCGACAAGAAGCATTGCTTTGTCCATCAACTTGTTGATGAAGCCCAGACTCTTCATTCTAGTCCTGTAATTTTACACTATTGAGACTGAAATGTATATCAGATGAAATCCATCAGGTGAAATTTCATACTATGTCAACTGACAGACATATTTTTAGCAGACTGTGCCGCCGTTATCTAGTGGAAATCTCACAAGCAGCAAAAATCAATACAGGGATCAAACAAAAAGAGCACTTCACCAAATGCTGAAAAAGCTCATGGCACCATCTACTATGGCTGCAGTGTAAACCTCTTCTTTCCTTCCAACTATAACTGAAAATTATAAGAGGATATGATAATATATGAGATATTCTGACAAAATGAATGAAACCTTAGATTGTCGGTTTCGTAGACGGAATTATCCCATGGTTAAGATCATTCATGATTGGAGCCTCTGCCCCTCTTCGAGTAATTCAGGATTCAACTGCATTATTGGGGTGAGTTCAAGTCCAATTATATACACACAATCTTCCATTCAATTTCATTTAGGTCTTACTCTAATTTTATCAAATTTTTACACAGATGGCTCAGTCCCTTGCAATACTCTTATTCTTAAGGGAAATTTAACCAAAGGTAAATACAACGTAGAAAACTGCTTAAATCTTTTACTTAGTAAGGAGGGTATCAAATATTTTACTAATATTGACATATTTGATCAAAATGAAAAAAAACGCAAGACTTTGTAAGTCCATAGTAAAGCCTTCAAAGGTGTCCGGGATAATTTTAGCAAAAGTATGTTCTGTTGGCGTTTGTGGTTAAATCTGGAATAATACAGATATAAAGCAACAAAAACTGAAAAGAAAGCTGAAGTGCAGTAAGTTAAAATTTTCCAACTCAGCTGCTATGCGTTTGTAAAACGTTATGCTTAAAGCAATATTTGACCTACTCCGGTGCAAGGATCCCAATACCAAATTACTTCCAGGAACAGCAGTACAGTACTCTGGTGTGCACCAGCCCAGTACTATCAAGATCTCCTCAATCTCTAAGGTAAAAGATCTCCTCGATCTATAAGGCAAAAATCTCCTCAATCTATCAGACCTTTCGGTCAAGGCAATGATCTTCTCGATCTATAAGACCTCCTCGGTCCAGGCACTGTTTCTACGAGCACTAGCTATTTTACAACATATATCTGTATATATTGATTGTTGTTTTTGGAATAAATTTTCTTTAAGGATAATTGGGGTCTATTTATAACGTTTGGAAAAATACTATGCACTAATAAAATAATATTATTTACTATGCATGTGGAACCCACGTCCAAATTTTTCTTTAAAATTTAGGCAGCCTAACATTAGGTAGCAGCCCATGTGTGGTTTTAATTAAAAAATTAATTTAATATCTAACAATCCCTCACAATTTTTTTTAAACTAGTGTCGTGTAACAATGTTGTTGTTTCAATCGTTGTGCGTAAGGAATATGTCGCAAGGACTTGAATCCCCTTTAGACCAACTGAATAAAAGATTGATGCATGGTATCGCAGAGACTTGAACCAGCACATGTCTAAAAATCCAGCGATCACACAAGATTAAACTTATCTGTGGTAGTTTTCACTTTGAACCACATTTGCTTTTGCCTTTGCCTTTGTCTTGCCTTTGTCTATGCATATTTATGGCCCTGTGCATGTCCTGATTTTTGCTAGGGCTCAGGTATCTTTCTACAAGACATCATAGGAGACGGCCAAATCTCCACCCATGCATAGGTGAGTTCTTTAGGCATGGTTTCTATCAAACATCCTACATCCGAAATGCTTTGAACTCATTAAGGCTTAAGAGTCATCCTCTCTCATGATAAGAATCTAGGTGAAAAAATTAAAGTTTTACTCGGGTAGTTCAGCTAGGTAAGGATAGTACTAGAGGGAGATCAAAGATTAATTAAGTACCTCGTTCCTTACGGAGCGCGTTACGCAACCTCTAAACATTACCATAGACACCGACTAATCCAAGAAAACTTAAACCCTCTTATGATTTCACTTGTAAATTTTACTTGACTTTTGAACCATTTATCTTGTCATTAGTAGTATAAGTTTTGAACTAATAACTAGATGTAAATGGTAAGTATTTGTAAGACTCATCAAACTTTGTAAATCTTACTTGACTTTTGAACCAAATATCTTATCATTAGTAGCATAAGCTTTGAACTAAAAACTTGATATAAAATGGTAAGTATTTGTAAGACTTACAAAACTTTGAGACCCATTCTAACAGACGTCCTTTCGACTATGTCCTTTTTCAAACCTTTAGTCAACGGATCAGTAACATTCTCTGAAGACCGGACGTCAATCACAGAGATGACTCATTGACAAATGAGCTCTCTCAAATAGCCATACTTCAGACGAATAGTCCGCTTCTTTCCATTGAACATCGAGTTCGCTGTCACAGCACTCGCCGCCTGATTATCATAATAGATAGTAATTACGCCTTGTAATTTGTCAATTGAATGTCTCGAAGAAAACAATTGAGCCATTCAGCTTCATCTCCTGCAGCACAGAGTGCGAAGAACTCAGATTTTATCGATGACTGTGTAATCATGGTCTGCTTCTTAGACTTCCACGAGATGACAGTTCCACCAATAGTGAAGACAAATCCTCTAGTAGATCTGTACTCATCTGGTTCTAAGCACCAGCTCGCATCTGAATAGCCTTCGATTATACCCGGATATCCAGTGTAGAATAGGCCCAGACCTGTAGTTTTTTTCAAATATCTCATCAATCTCTGGACAACATCCCAATGAAGTTTTTCAGGATTACTTGTGAACCTACTAAGCATTCCTACAGCGAATGCAATGTCTGGTCTTGTGTAGCTCATCGCGTACATGAGACTCCCAATGATCTTTGAATATCTTAGTTGTTCTACTGGTCTTCCAGTGTTTGGTCGAAGCTTCATGTTGTAATCGTATGGCACTGATAGTTCCGACAAGTCGTCGTAGCCATACTTCCTTAGCATGCTCTCGACATAATTGTTGGCCTTTTTTTGATGACATTTAACAAATAATTTACTACTAATATTGTTTGTCTAGTGTTTGTATTTTATTATTTATTCTAGGCAAACAATATGTTGGAGGTTGGATAGATTAAGCCTACACGATCACATCAAAAGGAGGTTGGCGGAATATCAGAGTGAAGTTATGCATAATTCAAGTCAAATATCCAAGTTCAAGCTTCATCCACAAAGTTTACCAAGACGAGCACAATTGAAGATCAAGTTAGCTTGGGTAAATTAGTTTAGGGTTTATATTTATGTGTTAATACTTTAAGCTCAATATCACACACACACATTTGGTTTGATTTATCATCGTTTTGGATTATAGACTTAATGATATTATTTTATATCTTTTATCAAGTCTATAAATCTATTGGAAAGTTTTCAAAACTTTGTTTAAACTCATTTTGTCAAAATCAAGCTTTTACAAGTTCATACTTATGTGATTTTGCAAAATGATGAGATTTCACAATTGGGGAATGAAAATTAGAAAATTCTTTTTTGTAACATGTTCAAAATCACATTTACAAACATTTCCCAAAGTTTCATTAAGTTTGGAATTGATTTGTTATGTTCAATTGAATTTACAAAATCAAGTTTTTGTTCGTGCATGTTTAAAGTTCATGTTTGTGCATGTTTTTACAGAACAGATGAGTTTTCACAAATAGGAAATGCAATTTAAATTTTTTTTTCTAACATGTTCTATTACATGTTTATAACCATTTTCCAAAATTGATTTAAACTGTAATATCTGTATTCAAACAATTATTTCTTACAAATGGGAAGTGATATTTAAGAAATTCTTTCTCTAACATGTTTTTCTACATGTTTATATACTTTTCTCAAAATTTTATGATTTTTGGAGTTGATTTACTATTTTTTAATTAATTTTACAAAGTCAGATACGTAAAATTCCAGAATCTGTCAAAATCTGAAACTGACTGTGAACAGTACGATCGACCACCGTTACTGTAGCAGTCGACCGCCAATGTTACCATTACACGGTAACAGTAACTTGTTGATTTTATTTATTTTATTATTTTTATGGGTTTTGGGTATTTTCTTGGGTTGTTTTCTTCCACCCTATATATACTCCATTGCCATAACCATTTGAACAACCTAAGAGAGTTTAAAAACAAGTTTTAAGTGTGGTTTAAGTTTATTTAAGTTTTTATTTATAAGATTTGTTTTGTGAAGAAATTTTCACAAGGGCTTGAGGAGATCATCAATTGTGTTTGGACATTCAACTCATCTCCCTCTCTCTTGTCATCATAGAGAAGTTTTTATAAACTCATATCTAGCTATTTATATGTTTGATTTTTATTTCCATAAGCTAGAATTTATTTTGAGTTTAGATTTGTTTTGATTTACTCATTGTTCACACACAATCATTGAGCTTATTATATTTGCATACATAGTATATATTAGGGTTGTGGGATTGTAACTTTGAGAGTGAGCTTAATTGAGTTCTCATCTAGTTAGAGAACAAACATTTGTATTTGTGAGCCTTCATTGTGAGGATACACTTTGTAATATACTAATACACCAAGAGGAGTGTGTGGTGAGAGACAGGGTTATCCCAAGAAGAGTGGCGTCGATAGTAAAACCAAATTGCATATGCGACCCACGTACTTTGAGAGTGAGCTAAAGTGCAGTAATTTAAAATTTTCCAACTCAGCTGCTATGCGTTTATAAAACGCTATGCTTAAAGCAATATTTGGCCTACTCTTGTGTAAGGATCCCAAGACCAAATTGCTTTTAGGAATAGTAGTACAGTACTCTGGTGTGCACTAACCCAGTACTGTCAAGATCTCCTCGATCTCTAAGGCAAAAGATCTCCTCAATTTATAAGGCAAAGATCTCCTCAATCTATCAGACCTTTCTGTCAAGGCAATAATCTCCTCGATCTATAAGACCTTCTCGGTTCAGGCACTGTTCCTACGAGCACTAGCTATTTTACAACATATATATGTATATATTGATTGTTATTTTTGGAATGAATTTTCTTTAAGGATTTGGGGTCTATTTATAGCGTTTGGAAAAATACTATGCACTAATAAAATAATATTATTTACTATGCATGTGCGACCCACGTCCAAATTTTTCTTCAAACTTTAGGCAGTCTAACGTTAGGTAGCAGCCATGTGTGGTTTTGATTAAAAATTTAATTTAATATCTAACATGTTCTACTTCCATAGCAGGAATAGGTGCAGTGAAAGTTGCAGGGGCACTTGGAATCCTGCCGCAAGATCCACTATTCCCTTCTGTTCTGTTAATTCAATTTGCTCCTCCGCCTACATTGGCTATCGGTATGCAACCTCTAACCATTAACAAATTCAAAATAATTTTCTTACAATCACCACCTTCATTTACTTCTACTGAACATTGGCTATGAGATTGACTGATGAAAATGTATATAATTCAAGGATCATGGCTCAATCGTTCGATGTTGATCAGGAAGAACGCTCGTATACCTTTCTCCGGACTTATTTGGCTTCTGCACCTGCACTTACAAGTTGGTCTACAATCTTCATGTATATATTGTCCCAGGTTATGCATATGTTACGCGATAACATATGTTTTCTTTTTACTGCTACTGCTATATTCATTTTTGTATTGAAGAGGTGTGGGAGAGGACCCCTCTAGAAAAAGGTGTTCATGCTTCATGCCCAAATGTAATGTTGAATATCAAAATGTATTGTAGAGTCCAACTTAAGGATAACTTGATTCCTAGACCGCCAAAAGCAGTTTTCCTCTCTATGCATTACAAAAAAAAACATAATGGTTTAGTGATTTACCTGAAGTTGAGGGAGAGAACATCATCATAACGTGTGGAATTACAGGAGAGCAATCAAAACCCCAGCTTTCCTACCTTTTTTTCATCATACAAGAATAACATCAATACCCTTACATGGCAAGCTCTTACCGAAACGGTCACCCCTCCTATGCCTGGCAATTTTTATTTTTTTATTTTTTTATTTTTCCCAGCTTACTGGGCCTTGATCAAGTCCAAGTGATCAATTGGGCTAAATGTTGGGCCCTTACTTTATCAGGTGATAATCCTATGTGTAGCTCCTATGTCTAGCTATTAATAAAAATAATCCTAGTACTGCAGAATCCGATATGTAGAGCCATAGACAATATGTCAAGCACCCCTCTCCCTTTAGTTCTCTAACATATTCTGTTCTCTTCTTCATATATCTCTTGCTCATTATCTTCTAACATTAATTTAAGGACTCAGTCCTTAAATTAATGCATGTCTTCATCATATGGCTGGAGAAGCATCTACCTTTTGCACTCCTCTAGTCCTTTTCCGTATTGTTATTTTAACATTTTCCTAGCTTCATGACTAAGCTGATACGGGCCACGTGAAACTAATTTATTTCTTTACATAATATCTGGAAAGCAAAACAAAAAAAAATTATATAAAATTGTTGTGATAAGATCATGAAACAATAGAGGTTAATAATCTAGCTGGGCTGCTATTTATTGTAATCACCTGTTCTCTGCACTTGCAGCAGCCAGCTCAGCTTACAATACAACCTCCCCAAGATGTACATAAATCCTTCAGATCTACTCGTGTTTCTATTTTGGCAATCTCCCTTTTCAAGTCAAAGCCAGCTTCCATTAGGAAACAGGATTCAGGGAGTACACGAGTTGTTTATGTATACTTACAATTTGCTCCAGGATTTAATTCCACCCCAAAAAAAAAAAATCATTCAAGTAAGGCCGAGCTAGTTGGAAGTGACACGGGAAAATAATGCATAAAACAGAGGCTTTGCTTTTATATTTTAGAAGGGATGAGTTGATTTACCAGCCTACCTTGACTTTTGACTTCTGAGAAAATTATTCCCTAATCCTCCTTATAATTTAAATTTGTTAAACTCTTTTGAGAAGTCTAGACCAACTCCTGGGGGAACTAGATACAATATTTCAAATTGCTAGCCGACATTATTTGAATTTCAGAAGTTTTTTTTTAGCAAAAGTTGGGTAAACATGCATGCAAAAACTCATTTGGTAAGAAGAAACAGGGATGAGCAATGAATGCAAGTTTCTTAAACCAGCCACTTGGCTAAAAACAAATAGGAAATAACCGAACCATAACTTTTGCCTTTTCAATGATGCGAAAGATGGCTGATCATTAACCATATATTCACAGGGATCAAGATGGTCATAAAAACTTAGTCAGCATCATCTATTTTATCTCTATGTGGGTCATTGTAACTGACAGCAAGATCCCATCTACAATGTGGATGTTTGAGGAATGTATCAGATGTTAACCTGGTTAGTCTTTATAGCCTGCAACATAAGCTATATATTTGTCCCATATTCCGTAGATATTGGATACTCAAGTTTTCATATCTCCCATATATCTCTCTAGAAAGGAAGCTGACATAAGGTAAATAGCTCACCCTCCCTCCCTCGATTCTGTTCGTAGGTGCATACGTGTATGATTGCATGTATATTGAGTGTATGTGGAGCCTATAGAATTCTTAGTACGTGATTCTTCTTGAAACCAGGAGAATAATTTTGTTGCTTTCTTTCCTCTTAAACCTTAGTATCTGATTGATCACAAGTTTCTGTAAACAATATTTGAATCTATAAGAAAAGAGAACAAAAAAATTATCCAATAGGTTTATATTGTTACTTCTGAGAGGACAAGAGAGGATGATTTCAAGATCAAAATTGCTTTTCTGAAGGAATTTTTTGAAATTCTAAGTATTCCTTTTTCTGAACCCGTAGAGTCTGGCCTTGTTTCTAGTTTCTTTGCAAGGAACCATTGTTATTCTTTCATGCAGGGTCGCCAAAGTGAGCGTTTCATATCCATGTACTTCCGAGAATTCTAACAGTTAACACTTACACAACTTTTCTACTTTAGCAGGGAAGGAAGATAGACCACTTAGTTATATAACAAATACACACGTAAGACGAACCAACATTCTTTGAAAATTCAAACCGTTTAGCTGGGAGTGGATATAGTTAACAATGACTTTCGCCTTCCACGGCATGGAGAATTCACGAGTCAGTTTTTGAACTGCAACCAAATTATTTCGATAGGATGTTATCTTATGTTTTCTGAGAAAAAGTGAGATGAGAAAGATTTCAGTGTATAATTATTTCATCAAATACTTAAATTAGTGCATTGTCTGTTGTTATAGCTTGCTTTCATTTGAGGATGAGATGTCGGAGATATGTTTTATTTGCGTTATGGGACGCCCATGTTTAGATCTAGGGTAAATCCGTTTAAGTTAATAGTATAGATAATTTGGATGTGACTATACTGTAGGTTTTGTGTTATGAAAGAGACTTGATGAGATCAAAATTATGGTTGGAAATAAATAAAGGTTAGAAGAAAGAGGAAACAAAGAGGGATGTGTAGTTTAAGCTTAGAATATTTAAAACTCTGTATCAACCACAGCAATTTGGCTTTTCTTTTAGGCTAACTGCTGGAAAACAGGATCTATGTCTAAAATGATCAACATTGACAATTAACTCTTTGTTTCTGTTCTGAAATCCTACTAGTTCAAAATACACTCTGTAAGCCTTCACAAAACCTAAGAAGAAGAAGAAGGAGAAGAAGAGATCAAGGATGGATTTCTTCTCCCTGCTAGTGGTGGCATTGATGCCAGTCCTCCAGCTTCTGCTAATATGTCTTGTCGGAGCAATTCTAGCATCAGAGAGCATCAACATCCTCCCCCCAAGTGCCCGAAAATATACAAATAAGGTTAGAGTGCGAGAAAAAAACTGTATTTAGGATCATTGTATTCTAATTTCTTTCACTTCTCAACTCAAAAGTATCTATCTTTGTAAACAGATTGTGTTCTCTGTGTTTGCTCCAGCTCTCATATTTGGTAGCCTAGCGAAAACTATCACAGCCGAGGAGATTATATCTTGGTAAGCTTCTCATTGTTCCTGTCAATTTTATGGCTAACAAGTAACCGGGCATGATATTGTGAAATCTTGTAAGGTGGTTTATGCCCGTTAACATTGGGTTTACCTTCTTGATCGGGGGAAGCCTGGGATGGGTAGCAGTAAAGATCTTGAGACCAGAGAAACATCTTGAAGGCCTTATCATTGCCAATTGCTCTGCAGGTACTTGATCAGCTTAATTCAGAAAACATAAACACTAGTTCTCAATCAGTAGGTTGATACCTGCAGGAAATCTGGGATATATGCTGCTCTTAATCATCCCTGCGGTCTGCAAAGAGGATGAGAGTCCATTTGGGGATTCTAGCATATGTACTACCAGAGGACTAGCCTACAACGCACTATCTATGGCGGTATTGTAATTGGTCCACAATCTTTGAGAAAAAAAAAATACAAGTGACAGAAAGCTGAGGACGCTTATCTTTGCTTGCTCATGCAGCTTGGAGGTCTTTACATATGGACTCACACATACAGTCTGATGAAAAATGCTGGTGCAATTATTGAGAGGAGCAGAACAGGTGGGGTATCAGAAAGGATAACGTTAAGCAATTCAGATGCAGATATGGAATCTCACTTGATTGAAAAGGAGAATGAAGAAGTTGTTAGTACTTCATCAATGAAAGCTGAAGACGACCGAACTGTAAGTTACAATTCCTCAATATCCCTCTATATCTAAAATATTTATTTACTCAACTCTATATTGACATATTCTAAAAAAATAAGGTGGTTCATATGAAAGACCTAGGAATTCGAAATACAAATATCTAAGAATTTTAGGAAAAAAAAGGAAAACCATTTCTCTGATGAAGAATAAGAATTGGAAACAAGAAGTTACAATTTGCTGTACCTTTCCGTTTAGAGTTTTACTGAAACCTACGTGGGATTCATTTTCAGATTGTACAATTGTTACCTAATGGAAAGCTCAAAGGAAAGATTGTGAACTTTTGGGGGAAAATACATGGAAGTCTTCACCTAATTGTCGAGGAACTCATGGCACCTCCAACTATTGCTGCAGTACTGCTTTCATTCTAACTTTTTCCCAAAAAAATATCTAAAAGTATAAATGTTTACATGAAAAAATAATCCCATTAGCACTGACATAATTCTTAATGTATATTAGATATCTGGCTTTATAGTCGGAGTGGTACCCTGGTTAAAATCACTTATTATTGGAAGCACTGCTCCCTTCAGAGTTATCGAAGATTCACTTAAACTTTTAGGGTGAGTTTTATGCACTGCTGATATATAAAACATATATTGACATGACATTATTGATATTGCATGTTTTGCATTTTCTGCTTAAATTTCTAAGTTTCCTGACCTGTTAAACAGAGATGGCACAATACCGTGCAATATTCTCATTTTAGGAGCAAACTTAACCAATGGTATGTAAAGCAATTTCCTAGAGAAACCCCAATGATTTGACAAACTCATACTGTTAAATTTGGTCTATAATTTTCCACTAATTTTCTATGTTCTGTCAAAATTTGTCAACTAAAAATGTGCAGGACTACGCAGATCAACTTTGCCGCCTTTTACAATCCTATCCATCATTATTGTTAGGTATATTGCCCTTCCAAGTGCTGGGATTCTAGTAGTAAAAGGAGCCAGCAAATTTGGTTTCCTGCCTCAAGATCCACTGTATCAATATGTGCTACTACTACAATTTGCTCTCCCACCTGCAACAGCTATTGGTATGGCGACATCCCTTATTTTTCTTCTCTAAAGTTCTTTCCTATAGCACATTGAATTAGAAGGAATGTTGATTAAACTTCTTATTTTTCTTTTCAATGCGCTTGTCTCATTGAATTGCCCTCATGATCGTGAAACCAAGAACCTCCAATAAATCTTGTCCATTCTTGATCCAAAGAATGAACAAAACAACACATCTTGTTTACTTGATAGCCCTAGTGGCTAGTAGTTTCACAAATCTATGCATAGGAGTTAATTAATTTCTAATAAGCATTTTCCATATTCCTTCTATAAGGCAACCCATCTAATATCTAATATAACATGTCTATCTCTATAAAATATTTCCAACTCTTATTCTCAAACTGATCCAAATTAATTCATAGAAAATTGACATGACTTTTTGTAGATCATGGTGAAATGATGACATCAAGAATTTAAATTGGATGCAGGTATCATGGCTGAGCTATTCGATGTTGGACAACAAGAGTATTCTGTTATCTTCCTGTGGACGTACTTAGTTTACACTCTTGCACTCACATTTTGGTCAACAGCGTTCATGTATATCTTAGCTTAGATCCTGGAAATGAAGCAAAAAATTTTGCTAGGGAGAAGTAAAGTTCTTAGGACCATTCTTCTTTTTATCGTACGTATATCACCCTAGATTGAAGAAATCCGAAGTCAGATATGTTTGTAATATGTGATTGTATCTAGTAAGCTTGCTCTGGAAGGAGAAGCTCCGACCAAGAGCATGACACTAAAAATTTCGAGTTTGTAATTCCTCTGTTCTATGAAAAAAGTTTGTAATATCTGCACAACAAGAAAAAACTCAACTAGGCAGCTTCATCGAAGAGATGGAACTAGGATTTTAAGCCAGGTGATTGGGTCAGTCAATATAGAAAAAAAAACTAAAGCAAATAACTTTATAAACTTATTTAATGAATTAATCACCAAGCTTTATATGAACCAACTATGGAAAATTTTATTCCCTCTGCATGCTTGTGTGCCTTCTCATTCACATACAATGCTTCTAACTTGGCTGGCTAAAACCTACGACAAATCTAATGCATATAATAATGGCATTCTACCTGGTTCAAAATCCAGCGGAAAAATCAATCGCACAACATTTTCTATCATGCAGAAAATACTCATGCCAGAATGCCTGGTTCAAAATCCAGCGGAAAAATCAATCGCACAACATTTTCTATCATGCAGAAAATACTCATGCCAATGAATCCTAACAATCATGGAGAACAGAATCGTATTGAAAAACCCCAGTTCAGTTCCAAGCAATTCAATGGGGAAATAAAATCTTTGTGTGTAAAGTTCTATTTTTTCGGATTGCAATGAACCTTATGCCAGTGATGTTTCCCAACAACTCATACTCATTTCGAGTTTGTCGTGTACAGCTCGAACAAATCTCTTCCATATTACACCACCATTAACATTGGCAACAATGCCATCTATCGGAATCCCCTGTTATTGATTTCCTATATCTAAGCAAGATGATGAAGGACAAAGAGGCCTACTAGCTATAAAAGACTGATTTCTGCCTATGAACTTGTGTTTTATTTTACCAGTTTTGGCTTCTGTCTCATTCCTTTGAAATATAAAGTCAATGGTTGAGTTAAACTAAATCCAATCAAACTACTATGCAAAAAGATTGAAACCTTTAAAGCGTTAAACTTGGAGAACATGGCAGATCCTTCTTGACTTTTGGAATTACTGAACCATTTAATTGTCAGAATTTTGCTAACCAGGTTGCTTAATTTTTAGTTCAATTAGCTTTTTTTCTAATTGCTATCACTCCTTTATCTAAGAAAAAGTTTAGTAAATTTTTTATACTATACAATTTTTTATAGTAATCAAGTTTTTAGTTAGATCAAGTCTTGATTGTTAACTTTTCTTAAATATACAATTGGGTGGATTAGATTAGATTATCAAGATTTTTAAAAAAAAGAAATTAGATCAATCAACATCATAGGAGCATTGATTGGTTGGGTGACTTGATAAGAACCTCTTTCTTCTACTCCATTTGTTTAATCTTTTTTTTTAAGTTGCAATATAAAAATCCCTGTGAATTTTGTTCTCTTACATGGCCATTAAAGTGAACATTATCCACATCCAAGGTAAAGTGATAAATAAAGTTCTGGTTGGATGCCAGACAGCACCCCTAAAATTAATGGGTATTGTCTAAATCCTGATATGCTTATTATTAACCATAATTCCGTGCCAGCTTAAGATTAGGTTCAATTAAAAGAGAAAGTAAAGACCGTATAATCTATGTAATAAACTAAGCAAAAATATGCATATGCAAAATATAACTGCGGTTCTTGGGCCAGGTTCTTTTATGGGATGTATCAGTCTACACCCAACACACATATAAACAAACGTATTGCTTCCAGTCAGATCAGGTGGGTTCTGAGGTCAACCTAAGTTGTGATATAAACCCTTACTTTACTGGGTTGTGTTTGTCACACTAGAACAATCAAATCGTTGCCGCATCTCTTTTAATCTACCTCCCTTATTCCCATTAACTATATCATCTCAAATTCGAGCAATCATATTACTCCCATTTCTAATGGTTTATTCTCAACTCAATGATGACAATAACAAGAAGGAAAGAATTCAAAGGAATTAATTCTCATTGGCAGCAGCAACATTGTGACGTGCCTGTGCTTACAATAACAGTGAGGAAAAAATAAGCAAATACTATAACACAGAATAAGAACAGGATGTTTGATCGCAATAAATGTTATGAACTTATGACAATTAAATAAACAAGAAGAAGAATATTACATGTTTCCATAGGAGTGCGAGTTCCAGCTTTGGCCATGTGGGCTGTGGCTCTGCCACCTCCTCTCTCCCCTAGGCATCAAATACATGGTCCTTCTATACCAAACCTGAATGAACAACAAACAGAGATTAGTTGTTTTCACCAGTCTCATCAACATTAATCAATATCCTAGTCTTACATTTTCTCATAAAAACAAGAACTGTGGTTCAAAATTCTTGCCTAATACCAGGAAGATGGGTTCAAAATTCATTCCCAAAAATTCCGACTTATACAATAGTGGAATCTGAAAATCTTCAAGCTTGTGAAACTTATATGAGTAGTGACAACTAGAATACAAACCCCAACTACTTTTGTACTGTAGGAAACAAAAGTATGGTCCTTGATAACTCATAAATTTCGCTAGCACTACACAATGTAGGAGCCAGACTTTTGTTTCTTGTAGTATAGAAGTAGTTTGGGGTTTGTTAGTCTAGTTACTTAGTTAGTATTGTCCAACTTATACATTGCCGCCAAAATATCAGGAAGTTACTTAAACAAGGAAATTATGTTATCTGCATATTGACTCGGGTTTGTTGGGAGATAATTTATGCACATTTTTGGTATCATTTGTATTTCTTCCCCTATTTGCAGTTTGACATGTTTATGGTAAGGTGATGCACTCTGATTGGGTTTTAAACATTTGACAGAATAGGTTTTCAACCCTATGGCAAACCAAAGAAATCTCATGAATAAAAGTTGTTCGCCACATGTAAAAACAACATTAAAAACCCTGTTCAAAAATAATGAAATTCATACAATGTGCTATGGGGCCACATAGTACCAACCAGGCACAAGGCGGCCATCTAAATCAAGAAGCTAGAATAATGACAGTTGCCAATTTGCAGGATATGCCAAATCATGATCACCAATCAGTGTGAAAATTCCTTAGCTTGCTGAAATCTTGCTCCCATAAGACTCCTAATGGATTAAAGAATTGTCATCTAAAGATCGAGAAAACTGAATAGAAGACGCTTCTATGTGCAAGACATGGAAAACGAATAGAGGTTATGTTAACTTGTCATGAAATGGGAATGACTAAATGGAGATGGAACAGAAACCAAGTGCCAACTTACCATCTCAACTTAATGGATAGGCGAGAAAGATTTCTAACCAAGTCCTAGCAGTGGTTCTATTTTGGTAGGAACCTGAACTAACTCTGCAACTTTTTAATGGATTACGCACGGATAGCTATTCTCTAATGTTTCGTCCTATCCTATTCAAAAGTAGTCAAAGCATTATTTCAACCAATTATTTTAACCAAGTATTGATGGACTTTAGAAATCAAAGAGTAGTCTACTTTATAAAAAAAAAGAAAATGGATTACAGAGTACAGACCCATAATTAAAGGAATCTTTAAGTATTCTACAACTTGGTGTTGTCTCGCTTAATATTCATCCACACCTATCAAACACTTCATGCATGCTATACAAGCGGACATCCGATTTAGAATAGGGTTGACAAAACAAAATAGGTAAAAACATGGTTAGGTGAAAGAGAAAACATATAAAAGATAAGGTAAGGAATGCAAAGCAGATAGAGAAGTAATATTGTTAATCCGTTCTTTAACTTGCTACTGCAAGTCAATTCATATCACAATGTTTTAGAATACGCTAGGTGCTTCTGAGCACCGGACATGGTGCCTAGAGAGAAGGCGCCTAAGTGGGATGTAAGCGTTTTACAGCACCGAGGGAAGAAGGATTTTTTCCCCAAAAAAATTCAAAACCATATCCTTACTACTTCATATGAGACAAAAGTAGATCGAGTTCTGATTTGATCCATTTTAGCATGACTCGTTGCTTTCAACCTGTTGTTATGCTTAAGGGTAATAATCCCTTTTTTGATGCAGCAAGTCCACGTAAGTGGCCCATATTCACCTAGACAATCTATAGATTAAGCGGGCGGTCTAGGTACTGCTGAAGCCTAGGCGGACGGTTAGACTACTTTAAAACAATTATTGCATCATATCAAATCCCTTGACCATTTCTATTCAAAACTCCTACCACAAACTATTTAGGGTAAATTATCAAACCAACGGACACTAGTAGAAAATCACGTATTCTAGACGGAATATTCGAGATGGAAATTTTTCCGTCTAGAATGCTATTAAAATAGACGGAAATTTTCCATCTAGAATTTTCCGTCTAGAATAAAACATTCTAGACGGAAAATTCCGTCTAGAATAGTATTCTAGACGGTTCCTTTAAAAATGTATTCTAGACGGTTCCTTTAAAAATGTATTCTAGACGGTTTTTACTTCCGTCTAGAATAAACCGTCTAGGATGTATTCTAGACGGAATGAGCATTCCCAATGAAATGATAGAGAATGAGCATTCCCACTTAAATGAGAATCAATAAAATATATAATTTTAAAATACATCCATTCCCACTTCATTTTATAAATTACACCCAAACGTGAGAATGAGAATGACTATTCCATTCTCACATTAATTCCATTCAATTCCTTCTTCCATTCCATTCTCATTTGAGTCTATTCCCGCATACCAAACAAGGCGTAATAGATGATGATTATTACAGTGTTGTTCCCACTAATGACCCTGATATTATGAATTAACCTAACCTTAAAAATGATAAAATACCTATAGAAAATAATATACCTCATCAACCGATTATAGGCAACAAAAGGCCAAGAACACAACCTTCATGGATGGATGATTACTATTTGTATTCATGTGAGCCATCATGCTTCTCGATAGATACAAATAGGGCTGAGCACGGTTCGATCCAAACCGAAAAAACCGACCGAACCGACCTGAACCGACCCGAAAAAATCGGTTTTAAGAGTATGACGGTTCGGGTCGGGTTAAAAACTTTTCAACCCGAACCGACCCGAACCGACCGAATACCCCATGGTCTAAATACTCATTCTGCTCAAACCTGACCTATCCCCAAAGACAAAGTCTCAGACTCTCAAACCCTAAACACCTAAACTTTCCTTCCCCCTTTCCCAGCCGCCTCCTCAGTTCCTCTCTCTCACTCTCTCTCACTCCTCAGTCCCACGGTCCACCTCTCTCACTTCCTCTTCCTCTTCCTCACTTCCACAGTCTTCATGGCCGAGGCCGAAACATCTCCTCAGGCTCAGGATCTATCTTTGGCTTTGGGGGGGCACCCGCACCAGTCACCGAGGTATAAACTTTATCTTTTACTCTTCTTCAAGCTTCTGACTGCGATTATTCTTTAATTTTGATTTATTTCCTTGGATATAGCAGCTAGTAAGTTGAGATATCGGCCTATTAGTTTCCTGTTCATTTATGCACTCCTATTCTCTTATGATTACTGAGTTTGTGCTTTGATAACGATCCTTAATTTGTTTTCTGGTATATATGTTTTCATGGATGATGATTTTGTTCCTTTTTTCCCCTATTGTTTTTCCAAATTAAGTCGGCAACCCCTGAAATACTACTATTTAATATTCATGGGATCCCTTACCCGTCATAATATATTTTATTTGATTTAGCATTTGACAATTTTAAGTCATTCTGAAAATAAAGTTAGAACCAAACAACCGAACCGAACCACACCGAACCGACTTGCAATGGTTCGGTTCGTTTTGAATTATATGCCGTTCAGTTCGGTTGTTCAAAATTTGGTAAAAACCTACCCGAACCGAACCGTGCTCAGCCCTAGATACAAATATAGAAGAACAAGATCCATTAACCTTCTCTGATGCGATAAAATTGTATGAATCAACTTTATGGCTAGAATCCATAAGAGAAGAACTTGATTCTATAGAAAAGAATAAGGTATAGGAGTTATGTGATCTATCGAAAAATAGAAAAGCCATAGGATACAAATGGGTGCTTAAAAAGAAATACCGTGTTGATGGATCTATTAATAAATTCAAAACACAGTTAGTTACCGAGGGTTATAACCAGAAGGTATGAATAGATTTTCAGGAGACGTAATCTCCTGTAGCTAAATTTGCATCCATCATAATTATTTTGGCTATTGTTGTATATCTTGATTTGGAGTTATTCCAAATGGATGTTAAAACTGTATTTCTTAACGGAGAGTTGAAGAAAGCGATATATATGCAACAACCTAAAGATTTTTAGGTGAAAGGACAGGAACATAAAGTTTACAAATTAATAAAATCTCTATACGGTTTAAAACAGTCTTGTAGACAATGGTATATCAAATTCCATGATGCAATCACTAAACTTGGTTTTATTCAAAATAAATTAGATAATTATGTATATGTCTTGAAAAATAGGAGCAAATTTACTATATTATCCTTATATGTGGTTGATATATTGCTCGCTAGAAATGACATAGAAATGTTGAATAAAATCAAGGCAGATATCAGCGAAAAGTTTGAAATGAAAGACATGGGAGATGCATCATATATTCTTAGAATTCAAATAATTCGAGATAGAAAGTCTAGAATGCTAAGTTTAAATTAAGAAAAATATTTAAGATCAGTTCTTAAAATGTTTGGAATGGAGAATTCCAATCCGACGCCAACTCTGTTAGTCATGAAAAAGAGATTATGTAAAGAACAAAGCCCTAGAGAAGGGCAAAAGCCATTAGATGTTCCTTATGCTCAAGGAATTGGAAGCTTGATGTATGCAATGTTGTGCACCAGACCTGATATAGCTTATGCTATAAGTCTAGTCAGTCGATATCAAAATAATCCAGGACCAACACATTGGAAAGCTGTTAAAAGAATTATGAAGTATATCAGAGGTACATTGACTTATAGATTAGTTTATCAAGCCGATTCACTTGAACTCCTTGGTTATTCCGATGTTGATTTCGGAGGTGATAAAGATAATGGAAAGTCCACTTCGGGACACTTATTCATCTTTGGAGGAGGAGCTGTTTCTTAGAGTAGCAAGAAACAATCTTTGGAGGAGGAGCTGTTTCTTAGAGTAGCAAGAAACAAGGGTGTGTTGCTAGATATACGCAAGAAGCTGAATATATAGAGTAGCAAGAAACAAGGGTGTGTTGCTAGATATACGCAAGAAGCTGAATATATAGCTTGCAGTATGGTAACTACACATGCTGTCAGGATAAGACAGTTCTTGATTGATCTAGATCTCAATTTGTTATAAGGGCATGTTAATATTTATTGTGATAATCAAGTAGCGATTAGCTTGATCAATAGCGGTGCGAAAAGCTCTAAAGGAAAACATATTGAGATCCAATATTATTATATTCGAGATATTGTAGAAAATGAAGAAATGAAAGTGAATTATATTCCTACTACAGATATGATTGTTGATCCTTTGACAAAAGGAATACCAGCGGAATTTTTTATCAAACATGTAAGTTTGATGGGACTTGGGAATAAATAAGTCCAAGTAAAACTTCATGAATAATAAAATAAGAGTTACTCTCTACAGATAGTGAGAGTAATGGTAAGGACAAACATCTGATTTCACGGATAGTGTGAGGCATATCACTTGGTTGATTTGGTCAAGTGGGAGATGTTACCTTGACTCGGTCTTGTGTGACCAAATCAATGTTTTTTCTTAGTTGAGAAAAACGTGGAAAACATGGAATTGGGGTTTGTTGAGAGAAAATCTCTCAGAGGCAGATTGAGGGGGGTGGAGATGATGGGATTTTTGGCCTATAAATAGTAGTGTATTCTACTTGCAGAAACACAACGAAAAAAAGAAGAATCAAGCCCCTTACCCATTATCGGAGCCCCCCTCAAAGAAATCTGTTGTTTTTCTCTTCTTCTCTGTGATCGAATATTAGTGGATTTAAGTTTACTAAATGGAGTAATTTCAAATTATTTAAAAGATTTGGGGGATTAATATGGGGGAAAAACCTCAATTTATACACACAATACACATCATATTTCCATGTCATTTATTTGTATGTCAAGTAGAATAGAGAAATAGCATTTCAATTTTCATGTAGTTTTGCATTTAATATTAGAATTGTGAAATGTGTGTTTACAGCTTGTGACGGGTTATCTGAATCGTCCAAAGTTAATAAGGTAGATTCTCTGGTATTTAGTCTATTTTTATTTATTGTGTAGACCATTTTATTGTATAAAACTAGTTTAGCAAACCGTTTCTCTCTTTTTATGATCATTATTAGAGTGAAAAAAAATTCTAATTTTCCACATAAAGTTTCTAATTTTCTACAACCAATAAAGTAACAGATATAGAACACAAAAGACTCAAAAGACATGATATTTATAATTAAAAATTTTCCACATATTTAAATCTTCAGTATATCTTTAGTTTATCAGTAATAAAGAAATTATGGTGCCCAACCTGACAAAAAATCTTGGCTCCGTCCATGACACTAGGCGTATTTTCACTTGATGCGGTATAATTGGGTGTAAACTACCAAAAATGTGCAAAAAGTTTCTTACTCAAAAAATAGTTAAAGACACCAACTCGAAGTTCTTGTTCTTCACCTCCTCCTACACCGACGAGAGCACCTCCACCTCACCAACCGCCGCATTCTCAAGCAAATCGACCTGAAAACCCTAACCACCATCATAAAATAAAAGGGGGAAAACGATAAAAAGAGACGATTTTTTGAGAAAGACGAGGTACCTAATTGGGAGCTAGGCTTAGGGTTTTCTGAGAGGACAGAAGAAAAATCGTACCTTTTTAAATTTGGGGCATTATAATTTTGAAGGAAGAACTCGTGCTGCTGCCCTGCGAGAGGCTCGTTGAGGGTCGAGAACGGTTGAAAGGAGGAGAAGGCGGGGGTTTAAGTAGGGGGTTTTTCATGGCGTGGCTGCGCGTGCAAAGCACGCGGGGGAACCTTTTTGTTTCCACGTTGGATCAAACATAAGAGTTGACCCGGTCTTAGGGCATCTCCAACCCTTTGCCTCAAAATGGTGCAAATTTTACATCAAAATGGTGCAAAAGTCACATCTAACAGTAATTCATCTTCAACCCATTGTACCATTTTTTGCACCAAAAAGGAATATTCTCAGTATCTTTCTTTTTATCTACTTTTATATGATTATTTTTTATTCCCTATATTTTTAACTATTTCAACAACTAACCTCACATATCAAATTTTATTTTTTCACATATTTTCCAAACAAAATGATTTATTATTTAAAAAATTAAACTAATAAAACAATAAAATATTATATACCTAATATTAATATTGCCAAAATATTACATTCAAGAACACAACAGAAAATAAAATGTAAGAAAATACTTAAACATTAACAACAATGTAAAAATTACAAATTTAGTATGCTCTTAACTATCTGAATTAGTGTATTCCTCCCATAGATGATCTATCAATGCATTACGAAGCGCAATATGGGCATCTTTATCCTTGATTTTTCCGTAACGTGCAATAAATTGAGTAAATCTTGTAGTTTCATCTGCTACCATATCAACTTCTGGTGTTGGTGCTTCCCTCACTTCTTGAATTGGTGCATAAAGATCACGTTCATCCTCGATTATCATATTGTGCATAATAATGCATGCAGTCATTATGTCATGTAATACATGTTTTTTCCAAAAACGTGCTGATCCTGCCACGATTGCAAATCGTGATTGGAGAACTCCGAACGCACGTTCTACATCTTTTCTACATGCTTCCTGTTTCATGGTAAAATATTTTTTCTTCCTATATTGTGGCTGTTGGATTGTTTGTACAATAGTAGCCCATTTCGAATATATACCATCAGCTAAATAATAACCCATATTATACTCTTTTCCTTGAATAACATAGTGAGCGGGAGGAGCAATACCTTGAGCTACGTTAGAGAAAAGATTAGATGACTCCAGCACATTGATATCATTATTGGTGCCTAGCATACCAAAATATGCGTGCCATATCCAAAGATCATAATCTGCCACAGCTTCGAGGATAATAGTTGGTGACCCACTACGTCCTGTGTATTGTCCAGACCATGCTATTGGACAATTTTTCCATTTCCAATGCATACAATCAAGACTTCCTAACATTCCTGGAAAACCACGTTTTTTTCCAATATAGAGTAGCCTAGCAATATCGTTAGCGTTAGGTATTCGTAGATACCGCTCTGCGAATATTTCCACCATAGCACGATAAAAATTTGTCATACTTTCAATTGCTGTTGACTCACCTATTTTAACGTATTCATCCGTAGCATCAGCTGGTAGACTGTATGCCAACATGCGAAAAACAGCTGTTACTTTCTGTAACGGTGATAATCCCATTCTACCAAGTCCATCACTTCGTTGTTGGAAGTAATAGTCATGATCTTTCACTGCATCAACAATACGAAGGAACAAACTTCTTGACATCCGATATCGACGACGAAACATATCTTCTCCAAAACGTGGATTATCGGCAAAGTAATCTATGACCAAATTCTGATGCGCATTTTCTCGATCGCGGTTGATCACTGCATGACCGGGAATCGAGCCACCATGGATCGGTTGGTAGTTGTGTTGACGTAAATTGTTAACGAGGATCATGTTGTTGTTGATGTACTCACAAATTACTTCTTCGGTTTCATCAATCTCTGCAATGATATTGGACAGAAAATTATCATCATCCGAAGATGAAGATGATGATAAGTATGATGGACCTCCAACATCGAAATTCATTTTTGAAGTAAGAAAAGAATGATTGAAGTATGCAGAAATGGAGAATAATAGTTTTAACACAACATCGAGTAATTGTGTGGATGTACCTAATCTAGTATGCTATTTATAAAACTTTGCTTAGCTGTATACATTGAACAATGTGTAAAGTTGAGCTGATTTTAGGAAATGCTTTCTAGCTGTTATCAATTTGTCATAAAATTCAAATTTGCTTTTAGCTGCTGTTATCAATTTGTCATAAAATTCAAATTTGCTTTTAGCTGTATATGTTGGACAATGTGTAAAGTTGGCCTGATTTAAAAAAATGATTCCCACTCGTATAAAGCTTTCACACAATTCAAGGAGAGCTGAGCTGTGTATACGTTGGACAATGTGTAAAGCTGACCTGATTTCAAAAATTGATTCCCACTCGTACAAAGCTTTCACACAATTCAAGGAGAGCTGAGCTGTGTATACGTTGGACAATGTGTAAAGCTGGCCTGATTTCAAAAATTGATTCCCACTCGTACAAAGTTTTCACACAATTCAAGGAGAGCTGAGCTGTGTATACGTTGGACAATGTGTAAAGCTGACCTGATATCAAAAATTGATTCCCACCGACAACGTTGGATAATGTGTAAAGCTGATCAGTTTGTACAAAATGATTCAATTTCAAATGTTAACCACCGACAAATTCAAACCAACCGCAAATTCAAATTCAAATTCAAATTCAAATTCAAACAAAAAAAACAAATTTGGATTGGCTATAAATAACATTCACGAATTCTACTTCAAACCACCCAATTCGAAGTATTTCTTCAAAGTATTTCTGATCTCCAAATCAATCGTTTTTTACAAAAAAATGTCTGTTCGATCAACTGGATACACGGTTACTGAAGATGTGCTCCTTTGTCAAGTATTCTTGGATATTTCTCAAGACCCTATTATCGGTAGAAACCATTCTCGAGATGCATTTTTGGTCTCGTGTGGAGGACAAATACAATGAACTTCGATATCAGCATTTTGAGATGCGTACGAGCCGATCAATTCGTTCTCGAATGGAAATCATAAGTAATGAAGTAAGGAAATTGAATGCGTGCTTGAGACAAGTAGAGAATCTGAATCCAAGTGGTGCTTCAGATGAAGATATTGTAAGTATTCTATTAATTATCGTCTGAATTTTATTATTATTGTTGAAATACATAACTTGATGTTCACTATAATTTGCAGTTAGTTCGAGCAAAGATGTTATTTATGCAAGAACCAAAGTACAAAAAAGGTTTCAAATTTGATCATGTCTGGAATATGGTTAAAAATTTTGAAAAATTCAAAGATGATGTCCCCACAGCAAGACAAGTTGGTCGAAGACAATCCCAAAGTGTGAACTTCGACTCGTCACAATCAGATAATCCCACTCCGGAATCTCCTATATCAACATCTCCTGGACTGTCATCATTTACTCCATCTGAACGACCTATTGGGGTAAAAAAAGCTAAATTGAAAAGGAAAAATGATGATCATGAGTCAAGTGTAGTGGACTCCATCGAGACCTCCAACAATCGACTTATAGACAGGTTAGACAAGGCGAGCTTGGACAGGCAAGTAGCGTTTGATATCGAACGAGAAAAGATAGCCATGAAAAAAGATAGAGATGAATGGAAAATTATAATGAAAGATTTGAATTCCATTGCTGATCCAAACGTGCGTGAGTACGTTCGAGCTCAACAGATTAAAATAATACAAAAAAGAAATCAACAAGAACAAGGGTCTGCTTCTAATTTTGGCAATTATTTCAATGATATTGGACACTCTGGCCCCGATCTACCAGATTATTGAGAGTTGCTTGTCCATCTCAGGAAATGTTCTATGTTTAGTTTGTATTTTATGTTTTATTTTAATGAAGTTTTATATTATGCGTGTCAGTTTTTATATGTTATGTATTTCAGATATGTAAATTATATTTAAATTATGTATTGGGATTGCTCTTTATATTTCATGGGACTTTACTTAATATCTAGATTTTAATATTATAATTAATAATAATGTCTTTCAAATTTTAGCATTATTTTTAATTTAAAAAAATAATTTATTTTGTCCAAATTATACAATTAGGGTAAAATTATAAAATTTAAATATTATTGGGATTTTTATTTTGTCCAAATTATACAATTAGGGTAAAATTATAAAATTTAAATATTATTGGGATTGTTTTATACATTTAATAAAACAATTAGGGTCAAATTGTAAATACATAAAAGTATGAGGTTAAACAAAAAAAATGAACAGTAATGCGGTGATGAACAGTGCGACGCCAAATATGGCGTTGCGCTGTTCATCACCGCTAAAATAGAGCGACAAATGCCGCTGGGTTGGAGAGGAATCGGAGCGGCAAAATGACGTTTTGCCTCAAAATGACGCGGGGTTGGAGATGGTCTTAGAACATCAAATGTGAAAGAAAAAAAATCCTTTTGTTTTTAAACCCTTTTCTTATCCTGATTTAGTTTTAAACCCGCACCAAAATCGTTCATGTGTCCAAAAAATTTAGGGAAAATTGCTTCTAGGCCCCAAATTTGAATTTTCAATGTGCATCAGCCTCTCCTATTTTTTTTAATGTTCTTTAGTCCCTCCTTTTTGAAAAAAATGTGTCCAGGTCCCTCCATCATGATTCCAGCTCATGCCAGCAGTTGATTAGACATGTCAACTGACTTAAATCCCGATTTTATTCTCCTCTTTCTCATGTCAGTGGATGTTAACTTTTTTCTGTAACATGTTAACTCTTTTCTTTAACATGTTAACTCTTTTCTGTAGCATGTTAACTCTTTTCTGTAACATGTTAACTCTTTTCTGTAACATGTTAACTCTTACAGATAACATATTAACTCTTACAGCTAACATGTTAGCTGTAAGAGTTAACATATTACAGAAAAAAGTTAACATGTTACAGAAAAGAGTTAATATGTTACAGACAAGAGTTAACATTATTGTGCCCATGTGAAATTCCTCGAGACCGCGCCGGAGCGGTGAGGCGGGCAGTGTAGGGCCGCGACGACCGGCAGAGGAGGAGGAGAGTGTGAGGGGATGTGCCAGCCGGGGGGCGAGAGGGTGCGGAGGGAGGGAGAGGGGATGAGCTGGAGCCTGGATGTCGGAAAATTATGGATACACATCACCAACCATATAATAATGCACTGCGACCCACAAACAAATTATCATCAAAGTACCAAATACACATCTGATGTCTAAAATCTGCAGAATCTAGTATCTGTGGACTCCGCGCGGGAGAGCCTGGCACAATCCAAATAGAAAACAGTAGAAGAGAGGCGGGGGGGCGGGCGGAGTAGAACAAACCATTTAGCCAAGATCAGCTAACTATCACGCTTTCACCAAAAACACTCCATAACATGTCAAGAGGGCGCGCGGGGGGGAGCCAAATCGTGATAAATACATAAAACAAACAGCGCCACAAAAAACGCACTAAGACCCATTATAATCCAGGTGCCATCGCGAACTCAGTCAAGCGGATTAAGTCTCTCCAAGATTCTATAGCTGGATGAAAACGCCTGACGCCGAATCGCACCTGGTCGGGCGCGGAGGGAGGCGGGGGGGGGCGCAGGAGAGGGAGGCGGCGCGGGGAGCGAGCTGCAAGCGGGGCGGAGCGCAGGCGGCGAGCGCACGGACGGACAGGCTGAGGCCGTGGAGCGGGAGACGACGGGGGAAGGGGAGGTTATGGCGTGTGTAGGGGGAGGGGAGGGAGGCGCCGAAAGACGAGATACATCCTATGACGCGTAGTCCCTTTCACAGAACCGGCGGATGGACGGTGGAGGCAACCCGCCTGGAGGGGAACAGGCAGGAGGAGGCACGAGTCATGCGGGGGACGCGCACCCTGCCAGCACACCATCGACCCTTAAGCAATCCTGTGAGCCCGATCCGGCTATATTTAAGGGAGGATAAAATGGGGATTGTGCTATGGAGTTTGCATGAGAACTTGGGGAGAGGGGCTTGGACACAATTTTCAAAGGGGGGGGGGCGGCTGGAGTGACAATGTTTTGGAAAGGCTTGAGGCGGCGCCTTGGGGCACATCCAAAGTTGGGATTTGGGGCATTTAAGCAATTTTTCCTTTTTCTATTTGTGTTTTCCCCATTTTTTCAGAAATGTACCAAACAGGCCTGGGCCTGTTTGGTTATTTCCTAAAAAACCAAAAAAAAGAAATGAAAACCAATAAATCTCAAAAAGTACAATTTCACACATTTCCATCCCTAAAACTCACCCACAACATCTAATAAAATATTATTTTTATCCAACAACTCATCCATCACATCTAATAAAATATTATTTTCATCCAACAACTCATCCATCACATCCATCACATCTAATAAAATATTATTTTCATCCACAACATCACTCAACTCATCTCATCTCATATTTAAAAATCACTCACATCATCCAATAAGATTGTGACAACTCATCTCATCTCATTAACATTTTATTTCTTTGTTTTCCTCTCAAAAAGCTAGGAAAATAATTTCTTTAAGTGTGAGTCACATCATCCAATAATATAATGACAACTCATCTCATCTCATCTATTTTTTTATTTTTAAGAAATAAGTAATAACCAAACAAAAGAAAACAACTTATTACAAGAAATATGTTTCTTATAATTCATTTCCTTATTTTTTTCGCCAACCAAACAACATTGAAATAAGTTTTCTTAAAAATTCACTCACACTATAATAAAGTGACAACTCATCTCACCTCATCTCCATTTCTTTAATTCCTTTTTTTTTTTTTTAAGCCAACCAAACATTCCAAAAACCTATTTTTCTTAGAAATTGGTTTCATTTTCTTTGATTTACCTCTTTTTTTACGCAAACAAACAGCCCCTTCGATCGCTTCCTTCAATCGCCATTGCCGCTGAACAAAACCCTGACAGCTCCTCCAACGGCAAGCAAGTCGCCGCCAAACCGCCGGCGAAGGATCTCAAGAAGAAGAAAGGCGAGAAAAAAGAGGAAGATCTGGTGAGTAATCGATCCCTTCTCTTGAAAGATTTTCATCTTTTTGTCCGCTCGTTTCTGTGCGTTCTTCTCAATTTTGGATCTGTGGTCTCTTTTTCAGTCGGATGAGGATTTGGCTTTGAAGCAGCAGTTGGAGCTGTACGTGGAGCGAGTTCAGGATTCAGAAGCTTGCTCTTGAGAGTATGAGGTATTTTTTTTCGTTCTTGAATGAGTTCTAGGGTTTCTAAATTTGACATTTTTTCTTTCTAAACCCTAGCTGCATTTTGTTGAAGTAAGATTTATGTTTAATACCGTTTGATATATCATGCAAATATGCGATATCTACTGATTTTGTCCATTAACTCCAGACTACATATTGCATTCTACTTAGTTTACGATCTAGATGATACCCCTGTAGTTAAATATATTAAAAATTGGATTATGGGTTATCCAAGCTCTCTCTAGCACCCAAATTTAAACATAAATTGTCAAAATCAGTAGATATCGCATATTTGCATGATATATCAACATTTAAAAAATCTTTAAAAAAAGATGAAAGACAATATAATTCACTACTTTTACATGATACATTATTCCCCTCCATCTTGTAGATGAGGAAAGGGTTTTATCAAAATTGGGGTTTTCTAGATTCTTCTATGACTTAACTATCAGAAAACCCCTTTAACTTTGGGCAATTAACAGAAAACACCCCAATACCATAACTTTCAAAAATATCAGAAACCCTCGTTTAAGTTTAAAGGGTAATCGGACAACCACCTTTCATCTTTTAATTTTATCAAAAAAAAAACCCCTAGTTTTAGGCCCGTTTGCTTATCGGGTTGCAGTTCATCATAAACCCAAAACCCGACCCGACCTCAGTCCTCCTCATGTCTTCCTCCCAAATTTGACACCCACAGATCTCGTGCTCATTATTTCAATTCCTCAGGCAAAAAACTCAAGAAAAGAAAATGGCGAAAATCCACTGGTACTGGCCGCTGGTGGCCGCATCGCTAGCGATCAGGATCGTCCTCATCTTCTGCTTCACTGACGACCTCAACCTCGCCTCTGTCCCCGAGGTTACCACTCCTCTCACTAGCCTCCGCCGACGTGAGAAACCCTAACTCTCTCTTTCTGTTTGATTGATTGCTAGGTATTTTTTTAATTTTTGATGAATTTTGAGTGATTAGCTAAGTGAAAGATCTGTTCTTGGAATTGTGATGCAGTTGCAGAAGGCTACTGGCTGAAGCAGGCTTCAATGTCGCCTTACTCTGGTAATTCCCAACTTATAGGTTTCTTCTTTGCCTTTGAAATTTTGGTTGATGATCAGAATGTTGGGTGAAAAATGAGTGTAGTATCAATGAGAATGTTAATGCTGTGGAGGCACAATAAAAGATAGGATATATAGGAAATGAGTGGGCTTGTAGGAGATAAGAGATTAGAAATTGCTCCCATGGAGGATAAAGAAAGAAAGAGAGAACGGTAGGATCATGTACAGCGGAGGCCGTTGAATGCACTGGTTAAGAATAGTTATAAGATTATAGTAAATGGGGCAATAGATAGAGCTTAAAAAAATTTTGGAAGCAATTATAGTGTATACTAACAGCTAATTTTAAGGGAGGAGATGATCCATGATGGAAATGACTGGAAGAAATGGATTCATGCAAACGCAGCAAACCTCCTCAATAAATTTGGGGCTGACATTTTAGTTGAAGCTTTTGGCTTTGGTTCAAAATTAACCGGTCCTTGGAGATTCCTTAAGTAGTTGTAATCACAGGGAGGAAATATCAGAATTAACCGTTCAAATTTATTATATGACCTTTGAGGTTTATGTTATATTGTTATCGCATCAAGCAACAATGTGGTTTTTAGTATGTTTATGTAAAATACGTGGGCAGCTGGGTACACATTTTCAGAAAACCCTTAAACCTATGTTTTTGGAAGCAGTGCCTTTATCATGCTGAGTTGCAATGGTTCCTTGATATTATTGTTCGTTCAATGTTTGAGAAGAAAATGTGGGAGAATTTTCTGACAGCAATTTTTTATTTTCCTTTTCCTCCAGGATCCATGTACCATGGTTCCCCTTTGCTACTGCCGATTCTTGGGCCATTGACTGTGAATAGGTAAGAGACAGTAGTGTTGCTTTATGTTCTTATCTAGACATGGTTTATTTAAAATACCTGAATTTTACATTTCTTTAATATGTTTATATGTAAAAGTTGCAAAGACAAAAAAAAGACTGTTGTCAATGTTAACAGATAGTGTATTTATGTCAAATTAAAATCACAACACTCTATTCGGAGTTAAACTCATTTATCAGTTTATAGAGGGTTTGTTATTCTGGAATTAATTTCAATATCTGTCTTCAATGTGCAGAGTTGATGGACTACCCACACATATTTTTTACAGGTAAGCTTGATTTATTGATTTATTTTTTAAGTGAGTTTTGTCTCTTAGCATAACCATTGTAAAAGGTAATGCAAAGGATATGACAGAATGTTATCCTATTTGTGATCCTTTGATTTTACGCGGTAATGCTAGTGCACTCATATTTTTGTCCTTGTTGTATACAAAGAAATTTTTTGCATGTATACTCTGGCAACTTGAGTTTAATATGGACAAGTGGTTAAGTGAAACTGTCCTTTTATACATTTTCTCTGAATTTCCAGGTTGAATAATTCTGCGTAGACGAAAGGAGATCATTAGAATAAAATTATATTTGTTTATAAAAGCAGTATGCTCTTTTATTATTATTTTTTCTTCAAAGAAATATTAACAATAATTTATAAGGGATATGTAAAAACAATGTTGCGTAAAGGCTATACCAAATGCAAAAGAATTGGAACAGGCTTATTTTTTTACGTATGTAAAAACAATGTTGCGTAAAGGCTATACCAAATGCAAAAGAATTGGAACAGGCTTATTTTTTTACGTTAACATTTGAATCTATGAGCTTTCTTTATACCAAATGCAAAAGAATTGGAACAGGCTTATTTTTTTACGTTAACATTTGAATCTATGAGCTTTCTTGGCTTTTCCATGGGTTCTGTTCTATAATTTTCCAAACCAACTGTTTCTTATAGTCTGCAGCAGGAAGCACACATGACATGAAGACCAATCTTAGGAGCTTGTTTTTGCATGTTGTTCTTTACAATTAAAGACTTCGTTAATGTCTTCCTTATTCATACAAAATACAGTTTGATATTTGTGATTGTAGATCTTATTACTGCCATGCTTATCCGGGCAACTGGTCGGAGACTTTTAGTTAAATACTTTCAGAATATGCAACTGCTGAATCTTGAAAATGCCAATCAAGGTAAGTTCTCAAACAAAATTTGGGTGGGTAAGATATGTTAGTTCCATCTCTGTGATATGATATCTATGCATGTTCTTGTGTATGCCTGTGCTCCTTCTAGCTATCTCTTAATTGTTGTCAATAACGGGGCTTGTAGATGGTAAAATTTTTATAGCAAATTTAAATACATCAAGAAATTTGAATCAAGAAAGTGATGAGTTGAGAAAAGAAGCATGGAGTAGGTGGTGGACACAGTAGTTCAAAATGAAGTTGGAAAAATGGTGACAGTAGTTGTCTTAAGTGATTTTGCTCTCCAATTTTGTTTTATTAAGTTGTAGTCGAGTATAATTTATATATTAAAACTATTTTCTCATTATTTAAACTAAAATTAGTTTGTTCTCATGTGTGTGTGTGTTTATGGGGAAATACTGTGTATGAGGTAGCGGCTCATTTTACAAAATGAGCTACCAAGAGATAGCCATGTAGTGAAGCTCACCTTGCCAGTCACATCAAATGGTGTAGACCTCCCCACTATCTCTTGGTAGCTCATTTAGCAAAATGAGCCGCCACCTCATACCCATCATATATATATGTATGTCTGTATGTATATGGATGTATACACACGTGTGTATATACACATACACATACATGTGTATATATGTATATATGTATACATATGAAATACGTACATATGTATACACACGAAATACATACATAGGTATACACACACGTGTGTACATATATGTGTGCGTGTGTGTACTAACGCGCTCGCGCGCACGTTCATACATACATAATTGTATGTATCTATTTTTGTGTGTGTGTGTACTATATATATTCTAGTTCTTTGCCAACAAATTGGTTGAATTGATCTCTTCAGTTTACCTTTTTTTCTGTACTCAGGGAAATTGGACACCGGAGACTTGGCATCCCTTGTATTCTTATGGAATCCTTTGACGATAATCACCTGTGTTGGCTCATCAACATCACCAGTTGACAATTTGATGGTCGTATTGGCCATCTATGGAGCTTGTTCACGTAAGAAACAAAACTTTCCAAAGCTGGGCCTTTTGTCATGCAGCTATTTGCATCAATCATGCAGAATTTCTCTATGACTTGATTTTATCTTGTTTTATTTTATTGTCTTTTGTCTATTTTTAGAAAACTAACATACTTTATTCTGATTTCTGACTACGTCACATCATGGCCATTCTTATTGTTAGCAGGAAACTAGTATGAACATGTAACAACCATTAGTAGCTCCAATAGATTTGGATATTTAAAGTGAGAGCTTAAGTAGAAATGGTAGAGGAGTATAATGGCCTCTTGGAAGTGTTGATTTATACATAAAACAAGTCAAAGAGGGACTAGGTTGAGGGACAATAATGAACTGGATTTATTTTGAGAAGTTATGCCAAAAAATGTTACAAAAGTAAATAAAATGCAATTTTTAATTTCTTTTAAGAAGTACAAAGTAAGAAATGAGTACATCTGGAAGAAGTTAGAGATATCTCTTATTGAGGATAAAATGAGGGAGAATGGGTTATCAGGGCATTATGAAGTGGAGGCCACTAAGTTTGGTGGCAAGAAAGTAATAGGATTATGATTGATAGAGCAAGGAGGACTAGACATGAGCCGAAAGGAACTTGGATAGTTGGATGGGGCAATTAAAAAGGATAGGGTAGTGGCTACATTAGCTGAGGAGATGAGCTTTATTTGTGCGAAGTTAGAGATTGTTCTTATTGTGGATAAAATGGGGGAGAATGTATTGAGGTTATTTGACCACATGCGATGGCAGCCGAAAATGTGGTCACAAGAAAGTCCTAGGAGTTGTTAATAAACAAGGAAGACTAAAGGTAGGCCTAAGTCACTTGGATGAGGCAATTAAAAAGACTATTGTAGTGGATAAATTAATTGAGGAGAGAAGCCTTAGTGAAACTAAATTAAGAAAATAAAGACTATTGTAGTGGATAAATTAATTGAGGAGAGAAGCCTTAGTGAAACTAAATTAAGAAAATGGATTCAGGTAGCTTAGCCTAAAACTTGGGATAAAATGTTTTTTTTTTTTTTGCTGTTCCAAGAAACACAGGTATTTCTATTGGGAAATCATAGAGTTTCATATGCTTTGATAAAGAAACTAGTTTAGTATGCATGGAATTCAAGCACTGTCATTTGGAAACGTCCATTCACATTTATGTACCATGAAAAGAACTGTTTTTATCTTGGTTGCACTTGTTATGAAAGTTGGGCAATACTTTTCATTCATTTAGTCAAATTCTACATGTTTGCAGGTATAGTTCCCTTGGCAGCCTTTGGATGGGTTATGGCGACACACTTGTCACTTTATCCTGCAATCCTGATTGTACCAGTACGCCATTTTGTTAAAGATATAATCTCAGTATTAAGGCATATGGCCATATCTTGTCTCACTTTTTTCTTGAGTTTTAATGCTTGAGATGTTTCATATCAGGTTATTCTTCTATTGGGATATGGTTTGGATGCTCCTCCTCCAAAGTTATTCCTGCTTAAAAATTCCAATGCAGATGAAAGTGGGACTTCAAAGCATGTCAACGAACATAAAGTCACAAGTCAAACTGGGACAGCTCAACTATTTTCATGGAAACCAATCATTTACTTTGTGTTGTGGACATCAATCTGGTCATGTTATGTGTTGTTTCTGAGTGTCATTACTCTTAAAGGATTCAATGGGCTGTCTGAAATGCTTAGAAAGTAAGGAATGACTGTCTCATCACTAAATAATTGTTTTCCTTTTTATCTATGTGAATACTCATTTATCTGCCAACCACACACACCACATTCCTTACCTAAATCCTTTTAATGGCATAACATGTAGATGAGAATTATTTTATTGCACTTGCCAACAGAGGTTGACACTCCGGAAGTAGTAGTTTAATATGGAGAAACTGGCTTGTTTTAGACATCAACTTTGAAGCAATGAAATTGAAAGTTAAGAAATTGAGTCAAATAGGACACATGATATGACATCAGATTTATTTGGCAGCTACCAGATAATGTTAGGTGTTAATACTTAGGAGGCTGCTAGAGAAGTTCTTGAGAAATCCCATAGTTAAATTATGAGAGTAAAAAAGAAAAAAAGAAAAACAGCTATCTGAATTCTATGGTAGGGTCAAGAACAACAAGCCTTCATTTCAAACTGTCGGAATCAGCAAGATCTAAATAAATATATATTAGTGAGACGGTGGTTGTTCTGAGTAATGACAATCACACATGGTCTAAGTAATCTTTGTATTCTGTTTCCTTTTCTGAAAGTTATTATACTTGCCAGTTCTTCTGTATTTTTTTCTGCTTTGTTTCTTTGCGATCTAGTATCTCTGACTTCTATAGACCAACTCTTACAAGTTTTTATTTATTTATTTTGGGGCTAATAGAACACATGGATTTATTCTTACAGTCGAAGATCTATCACCAAATATAGGTCTCTTGTGGTAAGCACAAAGAACACTGGGATCTGTATGATACTATAGCTTTCCTTTTCCCTTATCATGCTTACATTTGTATTCACCAAATGCAGGTACTTCTTTGCGGAAGTCTTCGACTTTTTCAGGAGTTTCTTTCTGATAGTTTTCCATTTAAATATACTCTTCATGATTTTGCCATTGGTCATACGCTTGAATCATCGACCATGCTTTCTAGCCTTTGTGTTTATGGCACTCGCTTCAATGCTAAAATCTTATCCATCAGTAAGTAATTTTTGCTTCGCGAGATATTCCTTGAAACTGCACGTGATGCTAAATGCATACTAACAAATATTTAATTCTTTCACATTGTGAAGCTTCCATCTGACCTTTGACGTGTATTTAGCTTGTTACCTCTTACATATAGTGTCTTATATAATTTTTATGAAGAAATACTTATGATCATAGTTGTTGCATATAGTACACAATTTATATCATGGAATACAATTCAATTAAGGCAGAAAAGGTACAGCTCATGTGGTAATATTATAAATTTCCAATATTGTGTTATACGCCTCTTGTATCATATGATAAAATAAACGGCATGATGGTAATATTATAAATTTCCAATATTGTGTTATACGCCTCTTGTATCATATGATAAAATAAACGGCATGATATGAAATGATGTGTCATGTTTGATGCGATTATACGCCTCTTGTATCATATGATAAAATAAACGGCATGATATGAAATGATGTGTCATGTTTGATGCGATGAGTTAATTTTGGTCTGAAGTTTTCAGTGCGTTCCAGGCACAAGTTGGATATGAAATTGAATTAAGGACTAGTTTTGTATTAGATTGTGAACTGATCTATACCTTATAGGAAACTAGAAGCATGTTGCATTCTTACGGTAGATATGTGGTAAGAACCTACCAGCATCAGAATCAAATGTGTCCAACATGAAACAGTTCCCTGGTAGAAGATCAATGCATAGAGGCGTGGTGTCATTTGGGTTACTGGAAATATAGTCATTGCACCTGTTTTGTTTATATCTTATATGTAGTTCTTAATTGCATTTTCTGTCTTTCAGGCTTTTACCATTTCTCCTTGTTTGTTCTTTGTTCCATACTTTGAAATATTGCATGGGCCATATCATTTATAGAATACATATTTCATGGCACATGGAGACATTGTTTTTTTTTAATATTTGGTTTTACTTTTCCAAACCAGCTACATTCTTACATTTTTGCTATCGTCTGTGTTTTAAAGGTTGGTGATTCAGCTCTATACTTGGGTCTTTTGGGCCTTTTTGCAAATGAGTTAGCAGGTAACACTAGGATAAACTATTAGTGGTCTCTTATTCTTTTTGGGATCATATATTGATTTGCTGTTAACTGCAGAGATGCGCTTCCCTTTCTTCCTATTTTGTGGATATGTTGGAGTCTCTCTCCTTAGCCCTGTAATGCACAATCTATGGATTTGGAGGGTATCTATCTATCTTTCTCTTATGCATTCATATATTTGTCATTTGTGGTTTTATCCTTGAATGTTAGAGCAGAGTCTTAAGGTTTTTTGTTACTCAAGAACTGCATACATTGCAAATCGGCTTAGCTTTTTTCAGTTTTCACAATCTTAAAAGCAAATAGGTAGTAGAGTACTCTGTATAAGTATGTAAGGTATGCATGCATTTGGACATACCTGGTTTCTTGTCAATCATTTATAAGTTCCTTGTCATATCATTGGAAAACAAGAGAAGATTCAAAACCTTGTTTGATCCAATTTTACAAAAAATAGCAACATTTGTTTGGTTTTCCTGCTATCTTACTCAAAAGACTTAAATAGCTTTACTCTATGCATGAGCACGCTTGCCTGCATGATGTATGCATGGATGTCTGGTTATATCATCAGATATGAGATAATATTCTAATTCTTGTGATTCAAGATTCGCGTATTTCACAATATATTTGCTTAATTTGTTGCATTCTTACTCAAGGGAAAAGGGTATATGTAAGTCAACGGCGGAATAAGAAATAGTTCATGTATGCATGCATGATTCTTGAAAGTTTCTGCTCATGACTAACGTGTTTGTACGCACAGGGAACTGGCAATGCGAACTTCTACTTTGCCACCGGTCTTGGATATGCTTGCTTGCAGGTATCATTCTTTCTTTTGTTGTAAAATTTCCGAGTGAAATATCAAGTTTCTGATTAGTATTATGTATGTTGGGTATGAATTTTTTTAATCCCTGTATTACATGTAAATCAAATATTTCTAAAATCATTAGCTCCAATTGAATAAACTGAAGGAGACATAGGAGGAACATGAAGTTTGTGAAAGGCATGTTCTCACAGTTGGACTCTGACATACTCGTAGGATTTTTTTCCTTTAATCAAAACAGACAATGGAATTAAGCACCTTATTATTCTACATCCATGACTGTCATAAGCGAACAAGAAACAGCAAAATGCTGTTAAAATGATAAAGAAATTGTTGGCAGGTGTAAATGATGCTATGAAATCTTAATCTTCTTCCGAGCACGATTTATCATCAGCACTATTGTAATAATAATAATAATTATTATTATTATTATTATTATTATTTATTTTATATTTATGGTTTTGTTTTGCAGACTGTATTGATCGTCGAGAGCGTGAGCACCATGCTGAATCACGACAGGAAGCTAAGAAAGCAACTATCACACCACAAGATACAGTAGTTTCATGATCACACTTTCACCGATCACGTTAAGATTTCCTCAAGGTACACATCTGTCCGTACGAGAAATCCAGAGCTCTGTCCAATTTCCGTTTCACCGACATAATACATGACAAGGTCGAAATTTCCACACTATGGCGCTCTCTAGAGCAGAAATAGATCTTCCACGCAAAGAATCTGGGACTTACACTTTGGTAGTGAGAGGTCTTCCTTTTCTTTTCATTTCTTTTCCTTTTTAGGTCTAGTGGATGACCCCTTTTGTAGTCTCTGCATGCCTTTCTTACTTTTAATTTATAACAAGAAGGGAAAAGCTACGTCTTCCACACACACCCACACCCACCCCACCCCCACCCACACACACTTTAATCATTGGCTTATTCTGATTCATTGTTGGCCCATCAGTTATGATTTATTTTAGAAGCTATCATGTAGAAGCTACTAGTAAAAAATATGCTACATTCCCCGTCTTTTTCCTCGACCTAGCAGAAAAGCAGTTTTCACCAGTCCGCGGGATTGGGAGATCATTAGCAAACACAAATTGATCGAATGCTGAGCTGGGAAACTGCGGTGTGATTGCGCATGAGTGATACGTAATCTCAGTGCAAACGATGTTCTTCCAGAATCGCAGTAAAAATTGCTGCAAGTTTGGGCACATTGTTTTATGGGTAATGCGAATTGTGCTATAAAATTTAGGGTGTGTTTGTCAATTTTTCAAAAACTGAGTCAGATTTAAACTTGACCTAGTTTTGAAAGATTTTTTATTTAGCAAATAAGAGGGTCAGATCTGGCCCCGCTTTCATAAGCCAAAATATAGTCTTAAGTTTGTTTTCTTTTGAACTAGGGGGTCGGTCCAAAAGAAAACTGATTTAGCACAAAACTAGGTTAGGATTGGTCCTGGACTATTCTTGTATAGTTTGTCAAACACTTAAGACTACTTTCGTATACCAGAAAAAGAAAGTGTAGGGTCCTTGCTCTGGAATTGCTATCAAAATTTATGTGTTGTTTAGTACTTCACGTTTTGTTTCAAGTACTACAAATGTAGTTTAGAAATCATAGTCTAGTTATCAATGCTGTTTCAAGTACTACAAAAGGATGCTCACAGCTCAAAAGTAACGAGCCCTTGCTTTGTTGGCGTGTTGCTTCGTAAAAAGGCTGGGGAGAGGCGGCATCGCCATTCTTAGATCAGCATACCTGCAAATAGTAGGTTAAGTTGATGCATCAATGATAGTCAAGAATGTAGAGATCTGCGACTGTTTATTTTATGATTTTCAGTAAGAATCCTACTACCAAATTAGGAGCAATCTTTGGTGACGCAAGTAATGAGATCAAAAGTTGGTCCCAGCTCTCCTAATGCTCTCGCTAAGCCTTTGCATCAATCATATCACCCTCAACTTATAAAAAGGACATAGATTGTATCCATCATCACTTGACCAATTTGAATACGAGAGTCGGTCATAATCAGCTAATATTATGACAACAACAATAATAATGAAGCTTCAATCTGAAACCTTCAGTTTTTTTTAGTAAATAACCCAGAATTGAAACGGAAGACCGCGAGAGTCTTATTGGAGCCTCCCATCCATCCGGATCACCTGCAGTTAGTAATCTGAAACCTTTAGTTATTACCACCGGATCATTTTACTCCGTCCTATCCCCCGTCTGATTAGTTAACAACTATCATGTATTTTTCGTTGTGGTCTATTCTGATCCTTGTTGCTTCATTAACTGCGATGCTGATTGGCATACTCATTGGTTGGTATGTCAACAAATATTTCCAGTGCAAGAAGCCTTAGGCCTCTCATCCTCATTCTTTGATGAGCTCATATGTGCATTTTAGGAAGCAAATTCGGGTATGCAACTAACCAATGAAACTAGCGTCTCCTTGATCCCTTCGACAACCCAAGTACCTTCACCAACCGTCTTCAATTTCACCCATTCTATCATTCATCAACACGACAATCGCATGACAAGCCTCCGACGTGGCAACTTAACAAGAATCCAAATACCTGATCATAACAAAACAATTCGGTAAACCTTACCCATTTGACGATAAGTGGCGTGGCGAAACACTTTCGTGTTAAGGATGTTGATCCTAGAGCGCATCAAGTTCATACTGATGGATTATGTTGTTATCGGAGCATCAGCTATCCGTAAAAGAAGTTACATTGAATATCCTCAACCATTGTTTGAGTACCAACTGTTGGATAGCAGTATTCCTAATCTATTACGATTCTTAATCTATTTTGGTAACATAGCTTATTAGGATTTCTAATCTGTTTTGGTAACATAAGGTTATTATGATTTCTAATTTGTTTTGTTTTTGGTTTTAGGATTCCTAGTCTGTTTTAGTTTTAGTTTTTCTATATATATGGAGATTAGAATCAATCATCAAGAAAGAGGAGAGTTGTAATCAGAGAATAGAGAGACTTTTGAGCATTGTGAGAGGGAGATATTGTGAGCAAGTTGAGAGCTTTGGTTGAGGGTTAGTTTGTGAGTTTTGTGAGATTGTAACCCTTTGTACTCTCCTTAATTTAGTGGAATCTCATCATCCTCTACTCGTGGACGTAGGCAATTTGCCGAACCGTATAAAATTGGTTGTCTCGCTATTTGTGTGATTTGTAATAGCTTATTTAGGTTCCCTCGACAGGTCAGTCCTAGAACTGATGAGAGGAAGAGCTGATATCTCACTTGGTTGAGATATTTTGCTTAAGATTTTTGTTTCCTTAGTGAAACAGGAATTCCTATTGCGATCTGACTCTCTTGTTGTGCTGCCGAGATGTTGCCGAAATTTTCGCTGCACGTAACACCAACATCTATTGGTTCCTCATCGGCAAGTTTACAAAAAATGAAGGGAAATCAAAAGCAAAGGAAAGAAAGGGAAAGCCTGAGCCCAGAAATTTTTGACTCATTGTCACGTAATTTCATAATCTTAACTCCTGTTAATAACCATGTCAATATTATTTACCCAGGGCCGGCCCTAGCATAAGGCAACTAAGGCCTTTGCCTTGGGCCCCAAGTTGGATAAGGCCCACCCACCCATATATATAATATATGTAACTTAGTTACTTAAGCATAAACCTAACCCTATTTAAAAAGTGAAGATCCAAAGATAAAAAGTGAAGCTAATAGCTTAGCAACTTATGAGATTGAAAATTTTGAATTCTTAATAGCTATGAATATTTGGTATGACATATTGTTTGCTGTTAATTCAGTTAGTAAAATCTTACAATCTAAAGATATGCATATTGATATTGTCATAGATCAATTAAAGGGTCTTATTGTATATTATCTTAATCTCGAAAATGCACTAAAACATGATGAACATTTAGATATTAATGGACTTGATTTGTTTTCAGAATTGAGAGTGCTTGGGGAAATTTTAAAAATAGAGATTAATAGTCCAATTGAAGTGTTGAACTATATAAAGTGGTTAGATTATTTTCTAAATACTTGTATTGCTTATCGTGTACTATTGACTATACTCGTAACAGTTGCTTCCGCTGAAAGAAGTTTTTCAAAATTAAAATTACTAAAATCTTATTTAAGATCGACCATGTTACAAGATATTGAAAATAATATGTAATTTTGCCGCTCAAAAGGTAAGAAGAATGAGATAAAATGTATTATGAGTTGTATCACTTAGGCCTCATCCAATATTTCGCCTTGGGCCCCAAAATTCCTAGGTACGGCCCTGTATTTACCCTCTCATTTACACTATTTATCACATAAAAGAAACCAACTGAACTAATCACGGTATCAGCGAGTAAAAGTAAGAGCAAGTATCCAAAGCAAAACCTTGCTCCCTCGCTGCGGTCTCTCGATGGCATCCATGGTAATTTCTCACAACATTAAACTTCGCATTTACCATTATGCCCCTATCCATCTGCAGATGGCCGAAAAAACCCCGTCCACCTCCTCCAGCTGCATGTTCAGGTCTCTCTCCAGATCCCATCTCTCGCCGCCGTCGACTCCGCCGGCGACGGAGGCAGAGTCGAACCGGATGCTCCATCGCTGCGAGAACCGGAGCGAGGAGAGCGACGACGACGCGGATGACGCCAACCGATCAATGTAGTCCCTCAGCCAGCTCCGGTGACTGACTCCGGAGATCTCCGCCACGGCATCCCCCGGAGCCGACGGATCCGCCTTCTCCGTGCTTGAAATCAGAGGAGCAGCGATGGAATTTTGAGGGGGGCTCCGATAATGGGTAAGAGGTTTTTAT